ATTAATGGTAACTCGAATAATTTGTTTTATATGAAAACTATGTACATTTCCCGATTCCTGTCAAAAACACCCATGTATAGGGTGCTATTATTATTAGATAGATCTACCTGTGTCTGAATAATAAAATATTATTCCTTGCCTTGATACTTACTTTATCATTAATAGTTAGCCTATCTAGACTGATGATTATACTCTGCTTTAAAATGATATTTATTGAATCCTTCAATATTTGTACTTCGTTAACGATGCGTCCCACAGCCTGGTAACATTTGCAATTGGTGACAGACCAATTAATCACGGGAAAGCCTCGATACAAGACTGTCGCGGGCCTAAAAACGTCACAGCACATTTTATCAGCAGCCTTCGGCTACCGCAAATACACACAAATAAGCAATTTACAATTCCAATCCGAACGGTGAGCCCGCCTATTCATCATTTAGATTTATAGAGTCTTATCTAGACGATCTGCTTTCTTGTTTAATTAATGGAAGAAGAGTATTTTCGGCTCATTCTGGGAGCTGCTTTAAGAATGAGACGCGATTATGTTTAGTTTTTTGTGGTGTTGTTAATAATTAGAACCCGAGGAAAAAATACGGTAAGGATTATGATACAAATAAATTTTACTAATGTTATCAATGGCAAACAATCTAAATTCAAAAATATGTTATCGTCTGTTCCCACTACTAAAACACAAGTATTTTCCGTTGTAAAAATATTTATACTAAGAAAAGCAGCGACTCTCGACATAACTGCTACTAATCTTATTACTAATAAAAAGACTCCAGGTTATATGTGCGTTTCCGCATAGCAAATAGGGCGGGGGTGGAATGAGTGCTGTACTGTAGGCAATGCCGGCCCGTCAATATAGGCAATTGCCTAGAGCGCTTGTATTTAGGGGACGACATGGCATTGCTTACCAATTTGCGCTAATTGGTCGAACTTTAAAAATGCAGTACCTTAATAAAAAATATTTCTGTTCTTTGAATATTGACATGCACTAACAATGTTCGCGATATGCAAAAGTACTAAATTTCCAAACAATCACAATTCACGAAGAAATCTTTGAACACTTACATAAAAAATATACATATCGGTTGAACACAGAAAATCCTCCATTCGGATTTAAGATGAATGCAAAAATACACTATTGTTTTTCGCTGATATAAACATGTCGTCTATATATTTTGGTAATATTTGGTGTAAAGCATATTTAATTTGTTATAAAAACAAAACTATCAATTCGATTTCGATAAAATTTAGGTATATAGGACCACTACGGGCCTCTGTTTCGCGGAAAAATCGGTGAAAATTCATTAAAAAAGTACAAGAACATCGCTGTCTAATATATAACCTATTCCTCGAAGATTTTGAAGACGGTTAAAAGTAAATACAAAAATAATATAGCAAGTATTACTAATATTACAAACTGTATCGTGCCTACTTATAAATAAAGACGACGTTTACTCTATTCTCAACAGCAAAAGTTACTTCAAATAATCTTATCAAACAAGAAATAAACTTGCACGCAATCTCGATGATAGAGAACTTTTCAATTTCCATTAAATTCTATTGTGACGCGCTAAAATGCCTATCGAACTCTGGGTCCATCACAACAACGTCATTAGTTGTTAATAAATTTTGACAACTTATTAAAAAGTAATTACAAGAGGAATTAATAACTTTACCCCTCATTGCTATCAAAAATTCCCGAGTCCTCCGATTAAAAAGCTTTGACACATTTGAGAAACGCTGTTATTATTTGATGCTTCAAAATCAAACTGTGATTTTTTTGAAGATATTTGTGTATATTCCTAGGTTATTTAGGAACTTTAAAGTTGTTGCTTAAGGAAAAATAATTGATACGTGGAGCAGGAACGTTGGATCTGTATAAACGAAAATTAGACGTACAGAGGAATACGTTACGAAGAATAAAAGTAAAATTAATCAGTCCCTCATTTAATCAGCCCCAGCGTTGTACTCATTAGCCGACTAATGAGAAACGAAAAGAAGGTCATGATTTTGGCCATGCTGGCTATTTTATATGAAAATTGAAAAAAAAAGTTTATTTACATTTAATTAAAGTATATAGATACTTATTTGTTCGATAACTTTTTACTATCTTATAGGTAGGGACATGATCCCATTGCTATAAAAATTTTGGAGCTTCTGATAAAAAAACCGCTACAAGTGGTTTTGGCAATCCTCGCGTGATATTAACCTGACATTGTCTTAAGAATTCTGAAGTGACCAAATAGGTGTGAAAAAACAGATGCGTAAACAAACACCTCGCAGCTAAACTCTCTTAATTTTTGCTGACTGTCAAAAGCCTTCTTCCAATCCCACCGTACACAGAGCATCACTTTGTTGCGGGATAACCCAGGCTTCACACAAAGTCTGTGAAGCCTGAAGGACCTTTGACCACGACCTTTTTCGCACGTTCTAGTCGTACGGGATCAAAGTTTCATCACCTGTTATCGGCTTCTTCAAAAATGGTTCGGTTATATTACGACTCAATAAAAAATCACAAACGAGTACACGGCTCATTAGGTTTCTTTCAGTGAGCTCGTGAGGTACCCAAATATCCAACTTGTTTGTGTGTTCAGCTTTTTTCAAATGCACCATAACTGTTTTGTGGTCAATCCTCAGTTCCTCAGCTACGTCGTAACTACTGATATGCCAATCTTGCACCACTTTTTCAAAAATGACATCTATTTTATCCGTAACAGGGCAACCTGAGCAACTGGCAGCTTTGACATCAAAATTTCCAGACTGAAAACGCTTAAACCAAATTTTAGCTACTCTTACAAAGTCTAAAATTTGGGAAATTTTATTTAAAATTTAAGAAACTGCACTAGGTCCATAAACGTTGTAGCAATTTTTACCTTTTCAAAATAAAATTTTGAAATGTATCGAATTTTTTCATTAGATTCACTCACTTTGACAGTAAGAAAAATATATGAAAATCACACATTTTCCTAATTTGAATTCAAAGTTATTGGCTTTGAAAAATTTACTTATTAATGATACCGAAATCAACCAAATGAAAGGATTTTATTACAAGTTTATGCATACTATATACGAAAAGATTTTCCCCGACCTCATAAAAAATAAATTCAATAACTAAAATCCGACTACAGCAAATTTTTCTCAAAAGTTTCAATCATGAAAATTATTTTACAGCAAAAGCTATATTATAATAGCGATGGCCAAAGGATAGCGTCGTCGTGTTGTGACATACAACTGCACTGTTTTTTGGTACTACCAAAGATGGGTAGCTGCTCGTATCGTTTGTACTTCAACATAGAATTTTGGCTAGTGGTTTATTAAAAATGAGTTAGTTAATACAAATACCGCGCGTTGACCCATTGAGCTCTGTGAACAATATATCTCGATTATCCTTACAAACTCTCAAAGTTGCCAGAGTTACAGAATAAAGGGGCAGATTCGTCCAACACTATAACAGTTATGCATCTTTTTTTATTCTGCTAAACTAGGACCAATAGTTTATGAACAAAATAATTTCTTTATACATTTCTTATATGACATAAAAATGTTACTAACTTTATAAATTATGGTATATCTACTAAAAATTTCTGTCATAATTGCAAGCAAAAATCTTAACCATGGACCAATAATCTTATTCGTCCATGCCTTAAGTAAAACTAAACCTTACTTTATAAAAAAAATATAATTTCAATCTGGCCGTTTTTTTCAGTTGTAATCAAAAGACAATCGGTAATGTTAGAATGTCAAATTACCAAATAAAATTATAGGTACATTTTGATTTGATATGTCAATGGAAATAATGTTGGGATTTTTTTGATTTGCTAAACATACATTAATAATAAGTTATTTCAATGTAGGCGCCCAACTTTTGTTTGGACGAAAATCGAAATTATTGTGAAATATCTCTAATTCTCTTTGAAAGGTAAGTATCAACATATAAGGGGTAATTTTGCAAACAGTACATATTTTCTTCCTACGACCTAATACCTATAGTTATTACAGCACCTTTGAAATTTCATATTATATTATTAATATGATAGTAGTAAACAAAATGTAGACAAATATATCGACATAAATCTGTCGACGAGCTCTGGGTACAGTAGGGTATCATAAGTAGCAACGTGTTTATAGTCATCTTTAACTCCAATGTTAGTAAGTTTTAAAAAGATAAAGAAACATGTTAATGAATGTTATCTAATAACGAACTTTATACTAAAAATTCACTAATTAAAAATCCTCCCTGTATAAGAAAGTGAAGTTTCTTGGGTCCAGGTTCAGTTTTTATCGTGTTAAGCGGACGGTGGTGGATGCCGGTGGTGCAGACGGCTTAAGTTTTATTACAAACAACTTGTTAAAAATCGTTTGATACCCTGTCAACTACGACATAGTCATTCACCACCTAAGCTGGTGGCGTGTCCAACGGATAGGATTATCCATCACCCTCAATTCCTGTGCACTATGGCGGGTAGTTTCTTTCTAGTAGCAATTTGAGTTTATTAAACCTAAGTTGGTAATAATGGAAAACAAAATGCTTGTTTGGCATCATAAAAAAAGATTGTATACACGGCTGCACGTCAGGTTTCTAAAATATGTCAAATTTCTCCAATTTATTTTACACTCTACTCACAAAGCATTAAGGTTTAAAATGGAGTGGAAAATATTCTTAATAAAAATGCTAAAAATCCACTTTGTCCCTGGTACTGAGATGGGATACGAACCCACAAAACAGTGAAGTAAGTGGAAAAGTTAGACAGATAACCTCACGTATTGTTGACTGTACCTACCTATATCTGTAACACTAACTAGAACATTTCCTGACGCCTGTTTAGCCTAAATTTAAAACCCTTCTAAGTACTCCATTTTGCTATGTGAAATATCTATGATCATGAATTATAATAATTTTAAATCGTGATGCTGATAATGTAATGAACATGAACAAATTGAAAGTTTGATATTCACGTTATTTTTTGCAGATTCAGTAAATTCTTTTCGCTATGGCAATCAATGCTTTTGAGAAAATTGAAGCTAAATATTCCTCAAATAATTCTCGTGAAGCCCTTCCATCTAAAAAATCACATCATTTATCAATATTTACGGAAGATAGTATTAGCAGCAGTGACAGAAGTAATAAAATAAAGAAAAAGAAAACCTACAATAAGTCGCCATATCTTAATAGCGATAATGTTCGTATACATGCTACGGCAAAGGAGAAAAAAAGTACGCCTAAGAGAGCGTCAAACATTGTCTCTTCCTTTCCTTTAGCTGTTAATATCTATAAAGCCAATTCTGATGAATTTAAAACACCAAGAAAAGGTTCCAAGAAAGTTAAGAAATCTGTTCTAACCCTTCCAAACGTACCTACTTCAATACCTCAAACTTGTACTGTAAGCGATATGAATGATTCAGATTATTTCAACACAAGGGATGGAAATAAACAGCCGAGGATGAAGAAGAGGTTACAGGCACAGAAAGGAAAAACGAGGGTTCAAAACAAAAATTATGTATTTTACGACAGAGATGCTCGATTTTGTTCGCAAATGAATATAGATTCTAGCTCTACCGACATAATTGAATTTACTGGAGATGGTAAAAGAGTTTCTAATAAAAATTGCTTGTCTAATAAACCTGAAAATAATAATGAGTGCAGCGGTCATGATGTCTGGGCCGTGCTCAGGAATATAAACAGATTCCAATTCAGACCGTCGCCTCCAGTGTCTGATGATTACAGTAATCAAACACCAACGAAGAAGAAAAGGAAAAATAAAACGCGACGGAACAACTTTAGAGATAGACGGTAAGTAACATTATTATTATAATTTTATAAAAATAAAGCTAGAAATATTTATTCAAACATCACAAAAATTACCTATGAAATTTAAAAATAACAGTAGAATAAAGATGACAAATTACATTTTTCAGACTCATTGAAACTTGCCGTACAGAAGAATTTGCATATATATCAAGGTTTGATTTTGAAACTAAATCGCCACCAAACTTTTCACAGTCATCTAGTTTCGATCGTATCACTGTTATTGACAAGCAAGACGAGATTAGTGAAATATGCCATGAATTGGAACAGAGCATATTCAAAAGAAATAATGAGAAAAGTAAACTACGGCGTCAGCCTGTCACTAAAAATCAGAATAAAAATGTTACGAAAAATAATGTCAAAGTAATAACACCCAGAGAAGGTGGTAATAAATTACAATATGACTCGGAAAAACAATTCAATAAACGAAAGGCACATTGTAATAAAACAGAATGTATTTCGAAAGAGATTTTAAATGATGGTCATAACACAGCCGATTTAAATACTAACACCACCGTTAATTGTACTAACATTGAAAATGAGCATTTCGAAGTAAGAGATAAAGAAACACCTAATACGGTGACTGAAATATCTAAAAATATTCGTTCTACTGCTATAAACTATTCACAATCTGTACCTAGAAAAGAAGTTGACGCAACAACATGTGACGGCAAAGGTAATATGGTGATTTAAATCACTGACTTTTGATTCATACAAATAACTTATCAATTTGGTAACAGAATGTAGAAGCAAAGGAGAAGTGTATGGGTGTGTGCTTGTATAATTGCGTGGAGTCATATTTAATTCTTGACACTTTTTAAATTTTATGATCTCTATTGTATTAACTCTTTTAACAAATAAATAGCAGCCTATCAACAAACGAAGAGTTCCGGCAGACTACAGACTTTCCATCTTTCCGTTGTCGAGTTTGGTCTACTTGTGTGCCAATTAAACACTTGAGTGCGCTGACCAACCAACTAATAGTCGACCGTTTAATGAGGAAGTTTAAAAAAAAAAGATTAAGAGGCCGATTGAACTATCGACAGATAGAAATTCTGCAGTCTGCGGAGACTCTTAAACAACAACAACATCTCCAACTTATATTGATTTTATTCTTTGTGATTTTATAGACCATGAAGATGTTCGAGTGCAATCAAACCAACAAATAAAAGGTATAACAAAAGTAATTCTCAGTAAAGGGCGTAATGCATCCGAGCCAAATAGAAATGAAGAACAAAAGAGAAAGTCTCGCTTACTGACTACAATACAAAGTACTATCATATACTAAGATAAATTATATAAAGATAATGAATTTATGTGAATAATGTTTTTTCAATACACTTTTAGGAAAACAGCATCGTGTTCCGATTACAACACAAGTTACAAATGATGTTTATCCACAGTTTGAGAGCCAAGAAAAACAAATTAGACAGTATTCATCTAACCAAAAATACAAAAATGAAAATAAACATGATTCCTTAGAATATTTAGAAGAGTCTAAAATTTTACCCAACAGCAAGTGCGATGCTGAAAGTAAAGCTGCATATGTGGAAGAAAGCATAATTTTGACTAAAAGTGATGCACTTATAAGTAGCAAAACTAATCCTGGACACAGGAAAAATGGAATCTTTGAAAACAATTCTGAAAAATTTAATGTTTTAAATAACAACGAGTCTGTGACAAGCAAAAAAGAAATTCAGAAGCATCCACCGCGTATTCCAACTTCTGAAATCATTAAATCCAAACAACAACCTAAACCCCCAAAACCAGTACAACAATTACGAGACACAATGATAAAATTTTTATATAAAAAAGTTTCTGTAAAAAGTTTGGATGATCAATTCAAGAAAACAAACGAGTCAAAAGAAGATTCTTCCACGTCTACAACTAAATTAAAATCGCTTAATATATTAAATAAAGCAGATGTTAGTACACAAACTTTAATCAAATCGGATCGCGTCACTCGAGGATTAACTACAACGATGAGTAATAAAGTTTTACAAGAAACAAATACATTCCCAATGAATACGAAGAACTCAAGGGCTAAAGGGAAGTGGGCAAGTGATTTTATAGAAAATGTTATAAAGAAAATCCGAAATGGGATTTATTACAATCCAGAAAATGTATATCAATACAAAAAGATGCCCATGCGTAAGTTATATTCTTATAACATTCTGGTTATGTTGATTATAGTATCAGTATTTTTAAATATTAATAATAACTTTCAGATTCAAAAGAAGTTTCAATACAAACATTACTTATTGGAAAGAATATAAGCACAAACAAAAATATATTTGTTGAAGATAAAGAAATAACAACCGATAATAGTGATTCTACGCGATGTGATGTCATTGCTGAATGCAGTAACAATATTTTGCCTGGTTTTGACACAAATCCTCCCGCACTCGAGATCGAAACTTTAAACACGAAAGAAATAGCGATTCGTCATTGTACAACTAATGTGATGGTACAGTTCGATATCGCCCATTTATTTGAACCGGACAATCACAATAATTTTATATTAAAATCATCTTCTTTCACCCCCATTGTTAAAAATGAAAATCAAACCAAAATTTTAAAATGTAAAACGACTATAATGAACGCCGTGCTTCCTGCTGAACTCTGTAGCATAATACCAACAGTGTTGAAATTTATAATAAATTCAACGAAATTGCAGTCACTACCTTCGATAAAATCTTATCAAAATGACTCGAATTTGTATACAATATCAGAATTATTGATGAATGAATCCCCAGGAATTCCAAAATGTGAATTTTCAATGGCGATTGGTTTATCGTCAGATTTGAAGGAATTAATGAAAGGCACATATAGATTTAAGAATACAGAGAAAAAGGTCTGCGGAAATCACAAATTAAAATTGGATTATGGATATTATGATTTTAAAAATCAACTTCTAATGTTATATTCTAAACATTTATTGCCTACAAGAGTTGATGTAGTTAATTTTATATCCTTTAAGTCGGGAGAAGTGAGACCTAAACCCGAGAATTCTACATGCACGGCACTGCAGTTGTATAGGGCACCAAATTACAACATCTGCAAGTATGATGCAGTTCCAACTATACAAAAATGTACGGTAAACAATTTACTTAAACAGATATGCAATCAGGGTCTTGTTATTCGTTTTAAAATATCTATGCCACTAAGTGTCACATTTGAGAACTGCAACAGCGTTGTAAGGATGCAAATGGCATCGAATGTAACTAGAATTACCTCCATTAATTTCAGTAATCTGAAAATAGATTCACTGATTTGTGGGCATAATACTCAGTCTACATCATCCATGAAATTGATTGAAAACCAAAATAATGCTACTGATAAAAGGGTACAAAGCAGAGAGTTTCAGCGACATATGAATTGCACTAAAACGAAAAAGAAAAAATTCGTAACGCTGTACAAAAAGTGTAAATCCACATCGAACATATCAGGAGAAAGGCGCAGTATTCCTCTTACAAAGATCACCAATTTGGAAGAATTTTTCGATGCTCTTGGTTCTGGAAGAACAATGTTAAGCATATTTGATGGCATCATCGGTAAAAAGATACTGTCTTCGGTTTCACAAGTAAGTTAAACTAAAAGAAAAACTATTTTGAAAAATCTTCGCTATATTAAATTAACACTTTTTTCAGATGAAGGATTGGATAACGGAATTGAGTCAAAGACAAGCTATGTTAATTTTATTACTTACTAATAAAAAAGACACTCCTAATTTAGTAAGATTTCGACCACTACTTCTTCAGGGGATAGCAGTCAACCGAATCACACGAGCGTCTGAACTTGATATGGAAATTGAAGTTATCGAAAGAGAAAATTTCAATCGCTTTTCTCGGGTTTGTTTATTTATGATGTATGACGTAAGAAAATTACTGTTTAAATTTTTAAGTAATCACTTGAAATTTTTAAATTCAGGTGGCCATTCTAAAATAGGCTATGCCAACTAATTAAGAATTTTTAATTGCATATTTAATTTTTAGGTCAATCTCTGTCGTTAAATAAATAAACTATATACTATACCTACATTAGTAATAAACAGCATCGTTGCAAAAATATTTGTTTTTATATTTTTTTTATGTGCAGTTTGAAGGAATTCCCTATACCTTGGAAGCTGATGAAAATCCAGATAATCTACTAGAGGAACTATTTTGGATTGCTAAAACGACTGTAAGATATCATTGAGTATTAAATAGTTAACGTACACGGCACGGCATGTGAAAATTGCGAACAATATTTTTTTGTTATTTTAGCTACACTTAGCTATGGCCGTTCCTTAGGAACTTTGGTAAGAAAATTAACACACATAGTAAAAATGAAAAGAAAATTTTGCAATATTAAACAATGGTCTGCTTTAGATACGAACTATCGTAATATAAACCAATAAAAATACACATTACGTCAGATGTTTATTTTTCATAAAATTGTTTATAAATTATTGGAAGATACTGTACCTATCTCTAATTTATAATTTCATAATAATATTATTTTATCTAATACACTAACAGTGCTACTTATAAACAAGGTTTAGCGTCAAAGTAAATTTACGCTAAAATTGCAATTTTAGTATTCCTACCTTCTAGGAGCAAATATTACTCCCGAAGAACCTCGTACTAGGTTATAACCTTTGTTAAGTCTCTATTTAATACCTATATGAATTTTTACTAATACGAAGAGCAGTCTCAGCGTATATTTACTCCAATGCTAAACCTTGTTAATAAGTAACACTGTAAGGGATTATTAATTAGGCGAAAAAGTATGTCATATGCCTTTTAACCAGATACACTGATACATACTTTAATACTTAACCATGCGGCGGCCGTCAAATTGTTGTTTGTGAAAAATGTATAATTCTGAATAACTAAAAACACTTGAAATGATCTTCCTGTCTTGTCTAGTCTTCTTGAGTAACAAACAGTTTTATCTAAACTAGCAACTGAAATTCAAAGTATCAAGTTAAATACATTTAAATAAAAGATATTCGATTTCGTTTTTTTTATGAAAACGCTAGAAATCGTTTCCTTGTTGTTGGCATGGTGTTCTTATTACGGTAGGTTCATTAAAAGATAAAAAAATAATTATAATCCGATTTCACTTTCCGTCATCTTTGATCACTCTGTATATTGATAAAACCGCATTAAAACCCGTTGTGTAGTTTAAAAGATCTCCGCGTACAGACAGCAGAAAATGACTTTGTATAGATGAATGATGTTGTTAAGTGTATAAATATAAATATATAAAGTATTATATGTTTTAAAATTACCAATTAGTTTTTAAATCATTAGAGGTTAAAATATCTAAGGTATTTATTTTTATTTTTCAGGCTTCGGATTACCAAAAGCCATTCAATGAATCTTCAGAAAAACTACTAAAATCTCTTCTGGAAAAGCGAAAAAAGCTAAACCCTTCTTATTTGCGGGTAATGGCTCGATATGTCGGCTTAGGATTATTAAAGTCGCCCAGGAAATAATACTGTTTGGTTTATGAAAGGTGGCGTGAAATTTGTCATAGTTTATAGATATTATTTTAAAATGTTTTATTTATTATATGTGGTACATATTAAAATTTTGTTATTAATTCAGACCAATCTACATTCTCAAACCTATTTTTGGTTATGTTTATTTTGAAACAGCGTAAATAAGCAAATCTATTAAAACGTCTTTCGAACGTGTTTCAATCAATATGGATCCAAAACAATGCAAATGATCTCATTATACACGTACATATATCTCGAAATCGTAAATTAGCGCACTCACATCATGTCTCAGACTTTTTGGTACGTGGTATAATATTGTTACGGAGTGCAGCGGCGCGGTTCGTCGACGCATTACTAGATGACATTATGCGCCAATGAATCGCGTTAACAATTACCTGTGTTATATATGTATACATTATATCTGTAAGAAAGTAGTTCTGCGAATTTAAGCTATAAATAGCTAATATGGCTTAAAGTAATTAATTTGGCATAATTAAATTTAGTTTGCCTTATAGGATATTTAATTTATTAGGAATTTGCTGAGAGTAAAATACCTAAAACTCATAAACGTAGTTGATGAACGCGCCGAAGATCATCTAACCAAAGACTACTCTATGATTTATAGTCATAGAGTAGTCTTTGGTTAGATGAATGAGGAAGTATAAAAAAAAGCACCTGAGCTGCCCTCATTAGTGTTTGTTATTACACGTGTTTAAGGGATTTCGTTTGTTTTGTTAATTTTAAGCCTTCTTTCTACGCGGAACTGCGATATAATTAAGTGTTTGTGTTTTGTCCTAACATAAGGTGTTGGTAAGTACCTATTTATTTGTTCTCCTGTCCTTTCCATTGATTACAAAGTAATCATGGAAAGGACCCCTCCGGATCCACCGGATCCACCGGACCGGTCTCCGACGCATTATTCATCAATGGAACTTTCACCTCCTTTATTTACCCAGACTAGCCTCAAACGACGTAATGATACTGAACCCGAGGTAAACGACGCGCCTTCTAAAAGAATAATTACTGAGTCCTGTCAGTCGGACACATTAGACCCCTCTCCTGGCATATACACCCATCCCTTTTTAAATCAGTCAAATAAACAATATTTAAACAGTGATAAGGGACCATTCATTATACATGTTTCTAAAATTGAGACAGATCTTTCATCTGGCACATCTATTCACCCTATCAAATTCGGGCAATTTTTAGTTAAAAACAAAGTTGAAAACATATTGAATGACGGTATAAAAAAGATAGGTCGTAACAGGATATCTGTGGAATTCAAAACCAACACTGACGCTAATCAATTCTTAAAAAACCCTTTTTTATCAATATATAAATACAGTGCTACAATTCCCAACTACAACATTACTCGCATGGGCATCGTTAAAGGTGTTCCCTCGGACTTATCAATGGAAGAGTTTGTAGATTCTTTAGTTGTTCCCGTTAACTGTGGAGTGGTTCTGAAAGCAAGACGACTTAACAGAAAGTCAATCTCTGAAGGGCAAGTATCCTGGGTCCCCACACAAACAGTTGTTCTCACATTCCAAGGGCAGGTTCTCCCTAATAGAATATTTGTATATCATACATCCTTGGCAGTAGAGACATACCAACTCCCAACTATTCAATGCATGAACTGCTGCAGGTTCGGACATATTAAACCCCAATGTCGATCCAAGCCACGTTGCTTCCGCTGTGCACAACCACACTCAGGTCAGTCTTGTATGGTAGAAGAATCAAAGGCAACCTGCCTTTACTGCTCAGGATGCCACTTTGCATCTAATAAGAACTGTCCAGAACATTCTAGGCAAAGATCTATTAAAATATCAATGTCTCAAGACAACATATCCTACCAAGAGGCATCAGAAAGATTCCCCTCGGTAAGGAGATCTTATGCTGATGTCGTCCAATCTCCAACCCAAGCTACATCCCTTCCTCAACTCCAATCCTCTCCCAAGGCCTTAAGTCCTTCATCCTCATATAAAAAATTGGTTACCAAATCCCCCAAACCTAGAGCTCCTTCAAATATTGGATTTGATAGAATAGCTCATCAGGCTATTGTCCAAAACTGCCCATCTTCGCTCCCTAATGGTTATGCCCTTAACAATGATAACTCAACTATCCTCTCTGAAACCACCCCCAATGATAACTTGTTAGATGCCCTTTTGTCCTTTGTTTTCAGCCTTCTTAACAGGTTTGATGATATTCCTATACCGTCCAACGTTGCACATAGAATAAGTCAACTTAATAAATTTATTTACAATAATAAAAATGGCGAAGATAATTCAGTGGAATTGTTGTAGTATAGTACCCAAAACTTACGAATTAAATTATCTCATTAATAAGTTCTCTCCGTTCATTCTTGCCTTATCGGAGACATGGTTGGTGCCTGGTAACACCTTTGGTGTTTCAGGGTACTCTTGTCTCCGGGATGACAGAGCTGATGGATATGGTGGAAGTGCTCTGTTGATTAGTTACTCTCTTCCTTTTAATCAAATTAACCTGACACACAACAACTGTATTAATGCAGTAGCTGCAAGAATTTCAAATATATCTTACCTCTCAATATATATTCCCCCGCAATCAACGCATAGTTTAGTTATACAAGAATTAAACTCTATTTTATCATCCCTCCCTTCACCCATAGTAATAATGGGGGATTTTAATGCACACCATGTTTCATGGGGTTCGTATACTAATGACTCGCTTGGTTATCAACTTCTAGATCTTATCGACGATAGAGACCTCTGTGTTATCAATGATGGTAGTCCCACCAGGAGGACTCGTCCTAACCAAAATCCATCAGCAGTAGACCTCACAATTTGTCCCCCTTCTTTGGCATCCGATGTGGCCTGGAATGTGCTAAACAGCACACATGGCAGTGATCATTTTCCAATTCTTATTTCGATATTAGATCACACTTCCCCTACCAATCTCCACCCCCCCTTACTTCAGTTTAGGTTACACAAAGCTGATTGGTCGACCTATACCAGAACGCTGGACAGCAATTCTATTTCACTTCCTCCAATTACTACAGAAAATCATCAAAAGGCTTACGACATGTTTACTGAGATGTTAATAGACTCTGCTGAAACCAGTATTCCGAAGAAAAACAACATTCGTAAAAAAGTTCCCCCCCCTTGGTGGGACTCTGAATGCTCAGAAGCTATCAAAAAACGTAAAGAGTCTGAGAAAACTTACAGGAACGCCATGACCATGGATAATTTTGTAGCTTACCAGCGAGTCGCGGCTCAAACCAAAAAGATGCTTAAATACAAAAAAAGAATTGGTTGGATTAACTTTTGTGAATCGTTGGCTCCTGGCACTCCATCGACAATAGTATGGAAACAATTAAAAAGATTCCGTAGGGCTCGCAACCGTGCGAATCTGACGGCTAATGATCCCTCTATCTGGATCGATCTATTTGCCGATAAATTAGCCCCCCCATTTGCCCCAAATTTTGATTGCCTTCCTGTGAAACTACATGTCACTCTGTCCTCTAAAGACAACTTGGATGAGGTCTTTTCATTTGAAGAACTCCAAAAAGCTCTTTCTGGTTTAAGGGATACTTCTCCAGGCTTGGATGGCATTCCATACTCTTTCCTGATAAGAGCCTCCGACAAAATAAAACAATATTATTTAAAATTGATTAATTCATTTTACGATACCGGTTCCATCCCAGTTCAGTGGTCTAAGCAAATAATCATCCCTTTAATCAAACCAGGGAAAGATCCCTCTAATCACTCTTCCTACCGCCCTATTGCCCTATCATCTGTCCTCCTAAAAATCATGGAACACATGATTAAAAACCGCCTGGAATGGATTGTGGAAAGCCGTAATATCATTGCTAAATCTCAATATGGTTTCAGAAAGGGCTTTAGTACCATGGACAGTTTAAGTTTATTAACATCGGATATTCGATTAGCATTTCAAAACAAAGAATACCTTCTTGGTGTCTTTCTAGATGTTGCTTCTGCTTATGATAATGTCCTTATTCCAGTGCTCAGGCATAAAATGCATCAGCTGAGTGTTCCTGAGAAATTAGTTCGGTTCATTTGCAACTCAATCACAACTAGATCCATCCTGATAAGGCATCAAAATCATTCACTGGCAAGGACGGTCTGGAAAGGGTTACCTCAAGGATCAGTCCTTAGTCCTATTTTATATAGTTTATACACGCATGATATGGAGCTTTCCACAAATTGCTTTTGCAACACTCTCCAATACGCAGATGATATAGCTCTATACGTACGAGTAAAATCCATACCGGAAGCAACTTCACGTATGAACTCTGCTCTAAATCACCTCGGGGAATGGTTAGAAAAACACGGTTTATCAATTTCCCCACCAAAGTGTAGTGCTGTTATCTTTACCAAAAAACGAAATGTTCCTACTCCTGTTATAAAATTTCAAAATTCTGTCATAGACATAAAAGACTGTGTTAAATTCCTAGGTATGATTTTGGATTCCAAACTATCGGGAACGGCTCACTTCAATAATGTTGCCAACAAGGCAGAAAAAGGTGTCAATGTTCTTCGTGCGCTCTCTGGTGTTTGGTGGGGTGCACACCCAGTTACCCAAAAACTAATATATAACGCCATAGTGCGCAGTCACTTTGATTATGGTTCCTTCCTTCTCGACCCTTGCAATGTATCCGCATTAGACAAAATAAACAAAATTCAATCGAAGTGTTTGCGTATTATTCTAGGGGCTATGAAGTCCTCCCCCATTAATGCCCTCCAAATAGAGGCTGCTGACCCCCCCCTTTTTCTTCGTAGGCAATATCTTAGTGACAGATTTTTCCTCAAAATTTTACAAAATGAATCCCACCCGTTGCTAGCTATTCTACACAAACTTGTCGATGTTACCGTCATAGGTCCCAATTCACATCAAAAAATTCCCTGTATTTTAACGAGTTACTCGAAGTTCTGTCGCCCTTCTATAATGATCGAGAAATTCCCCCGTAATCCTCTATTCCTAAATAGCTTTGAATCGTTGCTTTTTAACCCTAACATAGTACTGAATTTGGGTATTGAAAAACATTCTCCCAGTGCAAACCAAGATTTAAATAAAGTAATTGCTAAAAACTGGCCTCATTGGCTTCTAATGTTTACGGATGCCTCAAAACTGTCAAATACGAGTAGTGTTGGTGCTGCAGTGTGGATACCTAAGTTTAGTATAGTATTAAGTTTTAAAGTTCCTTCACCCTCATCGGTCTTTACAGGTGAGGCAATAGCTATTCTAGAAGCAATCTTATATTGTGAATCTCACAACCTTAATGAAACTTTAATTTTATCTGATTCAATGAGTTGTCTTCAATCAATCTCTTCCAACCCTTTCAGGTCTAAATCTCGCTTTCCTATTATACTTAAAATCAGAGAAGCGTTATATAGATGTAGAAAGAAAAACATAGAACTAGTGTTGGCTTGGATCCCAGGCCACAGTGGCATAAAAGGCAATGATTCGGCGGATTCATGTGCTCGTACAGCAATATCTAGTGGTATTGCAAGCTATCCCAAACTACCATGTCAAGATTTTCTCCCTCTTACTCATTCTCATTTATATCAGTCGTGGGAAACACATTGGCAGAATACTCGAATAAAAACCGGTAAATATTATTACGACATCCAGCCAATAATTCCCTATAAACCTTGGTATCACCGTCGGAAAAATGTTCCAAAACAAGTGGTTTCAGCATTGTGTCGCCTCCGACTTGGACACTCTTGCGTACCTGTCCACTTAGCCAAAATTAAAGTTAAGGACAATTCCCTTTGTGAATGCGGACTGGATGAAGGATCAGTCGAACATGTGTTATTTGAATGCCCCAAACTTCGTTATTCCTTATATGATTCCCTTCCAAATGATATACCCCGGCCCCTAAATGTCAAAAATATCCTTCAACTAGTTAATTCACCTTTGCTAAGCATACTAATTAAATTTATATTAAATAACAAAATTAAATTGTAAAAGTCCTGCCTATTTAATCGGTATTCATAGGTGTATTTGTTGTGTTATGTCCTGCATGTCGTAAATGTGTTGTATTTTGTTTCAGGATCGCTAAACTGTCATAGGAAGTGAATTAATTTTTAATAAGCCTTTTCCAAAATTCTTTTTTTCTCATAAATATCCCTACCGTGTAATAGCTTTTCACGTGAAATTGGCAGAATTGTGCGAAACGCGCAGATAAGCCATTAATTAAAGAAGAAGAAGAAGAAGAAAAAGCACCTCACTAGATGGCTGATGGCGACTTAAGCAAAAGTTGATTTTTGCAGCAAACGAATGAACCAAAGTTAGTCATTTCCGTTCCTTTTAACTAACATTTTAAAAATCAGTTTTTAACATACATACTAAAAAAAGGAACAATTTCGTTAAGTTCGAAACTTAGATATCAATAAAATTGTAAATAAAAAGTACAAATAGAATATGTGTTTTTTATTGAGTTTTGAAAATTAATTTACCTTTATACATGAAAGAAAACCGGAAGGGTTGTCATGGTGAAATTAAGAACAATACGCAGCGACATTTAGTTTGATTTCGGGAAATAATTTTATTAAATACATCTGAGGATGTACCGCTTGATTATGAGTCTTTGGTGAAGGGAATCCCGCTTGAGTGGATAAATATTCGTTGTGCACTTGGTTCGTTTGTGTTGACATTAGTTAAAATAATCAGTCAACTACGCTAGGTTACCAAATGTTAGTTTATATATATCGTTAAATTTTGAATATATAAGAGTGATAATCAAATTGACGATGCCTCCAAAATATAACCACATTATCGTGTAGTGAGGGAATTGGTGTCCGACTCAGTGAGTCGACAATAACACCACATAAGCGTATTGCAAGCATTGCAAATCCCAAATTGTGGGAAAATATGATTGCTTACAACAGGATGCTTCATCTTTCAAACACATAAAAGCAATGGAGCCATTAAGAGACAAAGAAGTCGAGTTCCCAAAAATATTAAAAAATCTCCATACAAAGAACTTTCAGTCCTTTGTATGGAGATTTTTTTCATATTTGCTTTGTTCATATATGAACATATTTATTAGTCAACGCATTTTGAATCCTACAGCCAGAATTGACGTTTTGACACAAAATGTTGCCAGTTATGTAGATCGGTTACTGTATATGGGTTACGCTTTCGAGGCGAACTTAAGGGAGTATCATTTAGCAGAAGTGGCACAAAATCTTAGACAGAGGCATAAATTTTACCTTTTAACTTATAACCGAATTACAGTCGAGATTACGAACTTCGAGGTTTTTCGAAAAATTACAGTACAAAAATTTTCAATACAAGAAACTCTAAAAGTTGTCAAACCACCAATTGTTGAAATAACGCAAGAACTTAATAAAGATGCGACTAATTGACAACTTGACAAATGCTGTCACTCCTAAGGTACTACAAATTTCAAAATTTATCTCCAAATTCTCTACTAAATAAAGGGGTGCATTTCATTTTAAAATCTAAAGTGGCTCCGCAATCCAAACGGATATAATTAGTTTTTTTAAATATACAAATGCAGTTTCTCTTTTGACTTAATTAGATTTCGTGGTCTCTATGAAACGCACGTCTGTTAATTTCAGGTGTTTGCCTGTATAGGTAGGATAATGCTGATAAAGATTAAATGGCGATACATTAAGCATTACATAGACATTGTAAATTACAGATATTCGAATATCTTAGTGATATTCGGTTGCTGCGATTAGAGCATTCGCCCGAATAGCGAACGGTCGTGGATTCGAGTCCCATCTCGGAGTACCTGGGACTGATACATTTCCATTTCCAGTGTCGACATGTATCGTGAACATTTATTTTAAACAGTAAAAAAATTTTGGCGATTTGTTTACTAAGTCAAAATTGGGCTAATTGAAATAATAAGGCAACAATAGGTTTTAATATTTTTTTATTGTTTGTGTAAATCACTTTTGCGGCGCACTCTTGTCAGAGCTCTTTGAATCGCGCATTGAAGCAGATCGCCTACGCTTGATCTCTTCTTGACGGCGAACCTGTAAAAGAAGAATCATTTTAACCATTGGCTGTTATCGCTTTTCATAATAATAATATTTTACCATTTATTTGAGATGAGTACATAATTATAAAATAGAAACCGAAAAAAATAATCATATATTCTTTTAGATAAAGTTTTATAATCAAATATATATATATTTCCCTTTAGGGCTTTCAATCCCACAGTCTATCTCTATAAGCGGGATATTAGCGGGATCTCACCATATAAAAAATAATAATAATTAAATAACTATATACAATGCGGGATTGGAAGCCCTATTCTATATGATCATAGGTACTAAGTATGAAACAGCCTTCCGAGGAATGGTCATACTTTCCAAACGTGTGATCATTTTTGGTTCGCATTTAGTTTTTATGTTATAGTCATTATGTTCAATTTCATTGCAAAAACTAGCTTCCATTCCATTCTAATTTTAATTGAGACTAAGAGTCAAGTAAATAAAAAACATAAGAGGTTTTAAAATTGTTGCTGATTTAATACCTTGGCCAATATCAAATAATAACCAAGGGGTAAGACACAGCACCTTACTATCACAGCCAAATACGATTCCCACACATCAAAACATATGGTCATATGGTACAAGCTGTGGAATAAAGAAGTCTGGTAATGTTTTATTGCAACAAGTTTTATGAGTTGTTAGTTTGCATTTTGCAAAAATATTTTTCCATTTGCAAGTTTAAATACTTCACTCCCTAACACTACACTGAAAATTTGTCAGATAATACAATAACTATTTATAATTTCTAATCATCCACTTCCCTTATTTTGATATTGTGATGCCTACATGGAAATTTGGTTATTAATGCAATTTGTTTTTCAATGTTAGCAAATTAAAAAAAGAAAGAAAAGAAAACCTGCATGTGATTGTGAAATAACAAACAATATTAAGCAGACTACAAATTTTCTCTGCATATTTTCACAATAGGGGTGTAGACAACTATGTTTTATAGATATACTTGAAATATATCTATGAAAATATTTAAAAAAAAGTATCATTCATATAATAAGTTGAAATCTTAAAATAAATTTAATTTTCAAAATTTCCCGCAAGAATGCCAACTTCTGTCATGACCAGTGGTCGGAATTAGGTAGAGTTATTCATGTACTTACACTGATTTCATACAGCGAAAGAATAAAGTGGATATGCCTCAAATACTGAGATTACTTTTAAAGAGCAGAAAAAATCCCATGATTTTTTAAATAAAAAGTTATTATCTTTTACACAATTTAAACTACCGCACGTACGACGTTGCCAAACTTACATCAAAGACATCGGATGTCCAAAGATGTCCAAGATTGTCCATTAGTCCATTTAACATTTCGATGCAAGTACATAAATAACTCTACCTAATTCCGACCTCTGGTCATAACATTGTATGCATAAAGGTTTAATTCTCCAAGTTCTGATACGAGTAAAATGGGTGCGTCGTCATGCGGTTTGCTTTCATGTAACAATGAGTATAAAATGTTAACTTTTTCATAATTAATTTAAGCAATAACATATAACTATAATAATATGCATAAAATTGTGATTATCGGTAAAGAAAAAGTATATTAAACACTACAAGAAAAAAAAAACGTGTTTATTTTCATTTACTGTCTACACCCTCATTCTGCCGACCTTACGGTAAGTGCAATAACTGAAGTTTTGGGCAAACTGGACTTAAGGACATATTTTTGATCATTCCATAAAACTATATTTTCTCTTTAGACTTTTTTTAGTTTATTACGAGATATTCTTTTGATTGTCGAAGGCATGCACAAAAAAATCTTTAACTGTCTCTAAAGTACCAGAATTCACTACTTGACTATTTTTGGAATAGTGTCTTAAAACCTTCATGTGATTTCAAACACATTAAACTACCAGCAGATTTTTATTTCTCCAAAAACGTTATTAGATAAAAGATGAATATATTTTTATTGCTAATTAAAATTTTCCTGCCAAATCTATAAGTGGCATGACGTTTCAAGCCGTTATGTGACATTTCAATAATCGAGAGTATAGTTTACTGAAATGTTAAATCACACGATGCTCCGTCATGGTCGCCCGCGTTTAAGTTTTTGTGACCAACATATTATAAAGTTCATTTTACAAAAATAAAATATACCTGCAAAAAATATTCTTTTAAAATATTGTTTTAAATGTTTATTGTCATAAATGGATTCAAATCCACAGGATTCAAATTTTCCCATATCGAATGCTGATATTTTATTTAAATAATTTGCAAAGATAAAATATTTTTTACCTTAGACTCCTTCTTTCTCTGGGCCAACAGTTTGGCATATTCAGCTTCAGATGCCTTGCGTTTAGCCAGGCGTTTCTTCTTGAGAGCTAGACGGTGGCGTCTGCGCTGCAATACTACAGGGGTCACTAACCTCTGTATTTTGGGGGCCTGAAATATACATAAAATGTTTAGACTCATATAAAATATGAAGCTGGTTCAATTTTACATTATTTATCATGCCTTAGACTTTAATTTGACCATAATGATAGAGACGGTGGAAAGCAAACATAATAACTTGCAAAACCAAAATGGATATCTAGAGTGGAAAATTATCTTATTTCTGTATAAATTGTCTGAGGAACACCTTAATTTGTTACCATGGATGTTAATAGGAATTATTTATTGAAAAAAAAATAAAAGGTTTTATGCTCTGAAAATCAATTTTGGTTTTGCAGGTTTACTATGTTGTTTGCTTTCCAGCGTCGATATATATATTTCAGTAGACTACTAGAAAATATTATAGTATATGTAAAGGATATGCAACTGGCATAATTTCATTGTTCAACACACTGTAAAAGAATACAGATAGCATTCTGTTTCTACTGCTCGGTGCTGTTTTAATATACCCTGATGCTGCTGATTCTAAGTAACTGTGCATTTAGAATCAATAGTTTAATCAGGGACTTTTATGTAACTTTATAATAAACATGCATTTTACTCCTTATGAAAAATTCTTAAAATATCCACTTCAAATCAAACAATTCAAAAAACTGTTTACAATAAAACAGATTATCTAGCATTTAAACACTCCACTGCATTTTTATAAAAGTGCCATTGTTGTATGAAATATATAAATTATTAACATTGTTTTTCAAAAGAAATTTTTATGCAAGATATAGAAATTTCAGTAACTTGTGAAAAATTTATATTTTAATTTGCTTATTTGCATTTAAAATGCCTTGTGGTACAAAATATTTTATGTTAATTTTACTGATTGAATCTGGTCTTAAAAACCATATTCTGTTTGTATTCAGTAAAATGGTATCATTGTATTTCTGATAAATATCAATATAGCATTGTAAATGCATTCAATGTAGCTTTGTATATATAATATTGACAAAAATAATAACTTATTAATTTGTCAATATCCCCCAAATTGTCAGAACTATATTGTCTTAAAAACCATTAAATTAATTTTACCTTATATCTCGGTTTTGCATTTTCTTTGCCCTCTTTTGCTGGGAGGAGACGTTTGACAACATAGCGGCGGACATCATCTTCCTTAGTTAAATTGAATAATTTGCGGATCTTGGATGCACGTTTAGGACCAAGGCGGCGAGGTACATTTCCATCAGTTAAGCCAGGGATTTCCTATGAATAGACATAGTGATTAAGATTATTGGTAGCAGTAATATATATCTCATTTTAAATTATACAATGAGTAACAATTCTGTGTATAAAAGTTTTCATAAAAAACTTGTACGATGTGTATAAAATGTCATAGAATATAAGACATTGTGAGACAAACTCCATACATATCAAATTTTTCTGTACCCTGCCGCATATAATTACCAAGATTTGGAGATCTTGGAAACAGTAAGAACAGGGATATTTTTAAAAGTAATCACTATTTATATAGTTGTGTTTTAATTAGTCAATAGTATTTTAAAAAATGGGAAAATTATATCCAACTTGTGTTTAATCAGTATTTGAAAGAAAAATATAGCAAGGAAAAAGTACATTTTTTTAAATTTCCTTAATATTACAAATTAACAATGTGGCTTCTAGCCACTTCTTCATGTCTTCCATTATATGAATCTAATCTGTAAACTTACTTGGGCACCCTTGCGGACAATAACAAGAGCCAAGACAGAGAGATTAGCATCAACTATGCATCCACGAACAGATTTTCGTTTCCTCTCTCCATCACGACGTGGTCTATAACATGAATGACCCTTTGACATAAGCAGGCGGACACGACCTAAAATGGTTGATAATATTGTTAATCATAATCTTTAACAGTATCAAAATTAATATTTCTGCAAACGGCAGCGCGTATAATAATGGCGAAAATGTACAAGAGAATGACTTAGTTATTTGAGTGTATTTTGTTAATTCTAGTGGCTCTTATAAAGTAGGAACAAAGTAAGAATCCCTCCAAACTTTTAAAACTGAAATCTAATAGAAAATGAACCATGAATACTTACTGTTCGTGAGCACACCCTGTTTCATGGGGAATCCTTGCTTGTCGTTGCCGCCAGCGACGCGGAGAACATAACCCTTCCATTCATCTCCTAGTTGATCGGCTTCCACTTCAGCACCCATACGCTTCTCGTAAAAGATACGGAGCTTATGTTCATCAACCACTTCAAATAACTTCTGACATCCCGTTGCCGGGTATGAGACGTTCAACTACAAAACAACAAATAGGTTAGAAACATCACATTCTTACTTTAACGAATCTGGGGCCAACTGTCACAACTTCAAAAGAATTCCATAAAATTTGGTACTAAACACTTGGGAGAACTTTGTTTCATGCAAAAGGAACACATGATAGTTTCCACTTTCCACAACACGGAATCACTTTTATCTTTTTTAATCTCCGAAATCATTGCCGTTAATGAATATAACAACTGAAAGAACTAAAAATTAACATATTGCTCTGCCTATTGTAATATTATTTTGTGGTAATTATAGCAAAATAAATAATATTAAAAGTAAAAACCTTCATGACTGCAGTTAATTCCTTCGAACGTCAGCCATGAAAAAGAACCAGAGTAAACATTTACTAGGCATGAACGATATAGAGGGACAACGATTCATATCGATATATCATCACCCAAAAACTTCAATACGTATCGATATCGAATATACAGCGATAGCTAAACATTGATATAAAAAAATCCAATTTATCGAAACTTAACTTAACTTAACTTTAACGTATATTGGTCGTCAAAAAAAGCATGACAAGCTTGAGGAATGCTTGCTTTATTTACACCAAAATTCATTTTTGTCGGGTCGAGAACGAGATATAGAGTCTGGCAAGCGAAACGTGTCACAAGAAAAGGGCGGCAATTTCAAAAATTCTTAAGCAGTAAACACTGAATGTAGTACTGCAAAATAATTTTGATACTTTTATTAATTATATTTAATCTTAACATTTAGATATCAATTAAAATTATTTGTTTTGGAACATTTGACTAAAGCGTGACTGTTCTTAATTGTACAGTTAACAGCATATCAGTAGGCCTATTCACTAACTCAACTGACAACCAAGAATCGTCATCACCGTAAAAAATAGACACTTTGATTGTGTCAAAATCACTATTTCGTATTCTCTATCAATGATGAGCAATTTCGAAATGTCAATATCGGCATTCTCCACTGGACTCCATTTTGACACTTGATTTCGTATCGATAAACTGTATTAAAGTAACATTGTTGCAAAGCATATTTGAAGTCGTCGCATAGTACCTCTTAAGCCATTTGTTGTTAAATTAAAGCGAAAAAAAATACGTATCCAATATTTTTCTATTATCTGACTGACGGACTAAATCGAATCTTTTTTTTAACCCATTCGTTATACCTATTGGCTAACAGCACTTATAATATTAAAAATTCATATTTGTCATTAATTAAAAGGGTGTTTTTTGCAACGACTTCTTTGTTTTTTTGTAATGAATATGGGCGACTCTGGCCACATTTTTTTAATAAATGTGATGTTAGCCAATTTTGATTTCTGGCCCTTATATTTATAATGTGTTCATAACACATACATGTCTCCTAAGGGATTTTCATCACAACCTTTTGCTCTGATCCAGAACCACTATCTATCAAATTAAATTAGTCAATATAAACACCAGATTACAATAAAAAAAACATTTATTTTTGTTACAATTAAGTGCCATGGATAAATTACATAATACAGGTGTCACAAAATCATCATGTTAATCACAATAGAAAATTTAAGATAAGATTTTGACTATGAATCAGACTAAAAATACTTTAGTCTGATTCATAGTCAAAATCTGTTTCTAAATATTCTACACCTGATAACAATGACAAGGAATCATCAGAGTCACTCTCTTCACTACTGTCTGCACCAACAGATATAATAAATTTTTCAAGTTCGTTTTCAACAATGCCATCTTTTAATTTGTAATCATTTTCGACATTTAAAACATGATCAGTGTATTTCTTCCAGTCACTAGGGGTAATTAAGTTAAAACACTCTATTATTAAGTTTTCCATTTCCTTTCCTGGTATTCCAATGTTTCTGCTTGCAATTTTTCTTTTTGCTTGACTCCAAACCATCTCTATTGGGTTTAAGTCACAATGATACGGTTGCAGCAATAAAAGTTCATGATTATGTTCTTTTAAAATCTCTTCAGCTTCATATACAGGCAATGTTTTCTTATCATTAACCAAACACATTAACTCTGCCTTTGTCTGATATTCCTCAAAATGTATTCCATTATTTACAAGCCATTTACGGATATCTGCTTTGGTATTAGACATTATAGGCGGTTTATTGATTTGTTTTATATGGTAGCTGGCATTATCCATAACAATTACACTGGGCTTACTTAAATTTGGTATTAATTTTTCTCTGACCCATTTCATAAAGTTCGATGAGTTCATATCATCATGATAATCAGCAGATTTGGATTTACTACTGAACACTAATAATGCACCAGGCACAAAACCTTCCTCAGATCCAGCATGCACAACAATATGCCGTTTTCCAGAGGATATCTTTGTAGTGACACCAGTTGTTGAAGGTCCTTGCCAAGACTTTTTAACTTTATAATTCTGATGTACATAAGTTTCATCAAGGTACACAATTTGCTTTCCTTCGTTTCGTTTTATATTTATTTCTCTCAAATACTTGTGCCTCCATGCAGAAATCTGGTATTTTTCTATAAGCATAGAACGTTCATTTTCATTGCTTTTAAAAGAAAATCCATTCTTAAGCATAATTTTTCGTAAAGTCTCACGGCTACCACTGAATCCTATTGCATCTTTTAATTCATTGTGAAGGCTTCTTAATGTTGGAACAATTTTTTTCACACAGTAAAATTCATTTACTTTATTCCGAATTGCACTTAAATCAAAATTATCTAAAGCAGACACTGTTGGTTGATGAGGTCGTTTTTTCCCAGGAGTGTCCCATTTTCCTTTATTAATTAATGCTTCATTTTTTATCCTTCTTAGTGTCCTTATACTTACATCTATAAAAGATTAAACACTTTGAAACAAAGATATGTTAAATGTATTTAAAAGCAAATAATGATAGACACATACATCAAAATAATTTAAATACCTATTCAACTATGAATGCAATTTATGTTTAATTTAGTTAAGTTTATGTGCATATTTAGCATGTATAACAATTACATGGTTTGATTAGTTTCATGAATTCTGTGAATTTCCTTGTTAAACAAAACATTCTTATGACATCATTGGATGTCAACAATAAAAACCAATACATCATAAAAAACCTATGTAAATATTATAGGAATACTATCAATCTATCTTAAATCAAAACAAGAAAAGAGACCTGTCATTGAAGAAATTTTTTGTAAGTACTGCGTTTCCGAATTCAGCATTTCTTGTTTTTCTAAAGTTTTTATTGCATTTATCTCCTCCATTATTGGTTGAATATCACCATCACAGTTATCTGAAATAGAGCAATATTTTATAAAAAATATCTGTTTAGTTAATTACAGAAAATTAAAACGAAAGTATCAAAATTATAATACAAAACTAACCTAAAAAAGATACAACTTTATCTAATCGTTGTAATTTCTCCATGAAATTTTTATTTAATTCAGTTTTCACTTCAGTAAACTTGTCAATCATGATGGAAAGAAGTTTCCTCGATGAACTTTTTATCGGCTTCGACATAATTTTTAACCAAAAACACAAGTTCAAATTCGCAAAAACAACAAAATTCAATATTCTTGAATTGTCTAACGTAGTGTCAAACTGACAGTTCTATGTTGTTGCCATATGAAAACGGAAAAATAGGTGGTGTCACGTTTCGCTTGCCAAACTCTAGTATCGCACCGGAGAAAAATGACATTTGGGTGTAAATGCTCTCGAGTTAGTCGTGCTACAGGAGCCAACATTAAACGATGTAGGAACAAGCTTCACGGAAGTTAATTGTCCAAGCTGCTGCTCCGAAGTCAGTAATCTTAGCGTATAAATTAGCTTATATTATTTTTTTTATTGACTTGTGTATGAAACAAGTAGAACTAACATAGTTTAATTTATAAATTAACGTATTTTATTAAAATAATGAATAACCTTAAGACCTTAAAACAGGGGTTCCCAAACAATAATAGACAATTTTGTCTATTATTTTTAGCGCCCCCTTTTTTCACCTCCTTAAAAACGACTATAACTTCAAATTAAATTCATTCATTATTATAAACTATATTAGCGGAGAATAAACATTAACTTTAAACGAGACTTACTATAACTCCCAAGAGTTAAACTGAAACTTGAGTGCATATTGAATACACTTACGGGCTACACTTGCCAATGAATATGTTTATTGAAACGTAACTTTACAGTATCCAAACAGAGTATCTTTTATTCAAAATAAAACAAACAATTGATTCTAATATAAAAACTAATGTGAAGGATGAATATGATGCTGTTTAATAAGTCTGTTGATATCAAGTTCCAATTTACTCAAGAACAGTCGCAAGTCGCCACGTTCGGTAACATGCAAACGATTTCTCTTTTAGTAAGCAGTGTTGCCACAGCACTAAATCCATGTTCACACAAATATGACGATGGAAATGCTTTCGAAAATCATTAAAAGATTGAACACAATCCAGAGTACTATAGCGCGATCGGTTTTTGCAGCCAAAATTCTTGGTTCTATAAATTCTTCTTCCAGCTGAAGTGACATTGCTGTGTTGACATTTGAAAACGAATCCAATACCCAGTAAGGTACCTATATCCAAGTTCAAAATGTCAGATATCGTTCGGTGTAGTCAATATGAAGGTTTTTCAAATGTTGGCAATTGGCAAATAAATCGCCGTTCTGCAGGAATTTGATAAAGTCAAAATATTGTGAAACTCACGTCTGCTCATATTCTTTTTGTGTAGAAACAGTTTATTCACGAAAGCAGCAACTACGTTTTTTGTTTTAATTAAATTTAGTTCATCGCCTTTCATTTAAATAGTTGAACAATTTAAACAGATCTGTCGTGTAAGCTATATCATTCTTTGATGTAATGAGCTTGTTGTGCAATTCTATATCTTTAATTTTCAAAACTCTATTAGGTTTTACGTTAAACAGGTTTCAAATCAGGGTACACTATAAGTTTCATCAAAATCGGTTTAAGATATAAACTATTAAGCTACTTATATCAAACAAAAGAATTAAAAAACTAAACGGACTTCAAAAAAATCGTAATAAAGAGAAACGACTGAAAAGAAAGAAATAGTACCACAATATTTATCTTTAATAAAATCGAAACACAAGAGATGGATAGCATACTATTATCGAACGCAGTTTGTACGATAACTTCATGCAACTTTTAAGAATTTCTTATATTTCTACCATAACACCTAGTAACATATTAATTTATCCTTTCCGTTTGTTCATAGAACGATCTAATATATCAAAATTGGTCCGTAGACTCTAGAAATATAAACTTTAAAGTATAATTATTATACACATATTATTATTTAATTTAAAGGACGATGCTCACTTACAACGGAAGTACTTTTTGAAAAAATGACAGCATGTAAAAATTTTATGTTC